TGTTGGTATTACTTTTAGTGAAAAATCTGACTTCACATTACTGTTTGATATTTACTCCAGGAACCTACATTAAAAATTGGAGATGTTTTATCTTTGCCAGCAGAGGAAGATTTTTGCAACAAATAATTATTTCAAAATGAAGAGGCAAATTTAACACAAAATACAAAATTTCTTAGGGAATTCTCTACACTGCTAAGATCTGCAAGTCCTACCTTCTGCAAAAATTTAGGCAAAATGTTCCTTGCTTAAGAAAATGAATTGTATGAAATTATTGATAAACTTGAGACAATCAAATTACTTGGTACTTTTTTTACTTTTGACCTCCATATTTGAGCTTTCTAATTAAACTTTGAACTTAAATGGCAAAACTGAAAGTGTTGGTATTAAAATCATGACTTGACACTTCCTTGCTCCAATTAGGAGTGATGTGGGCTGACCAACCATTCAGACATAGTAACTGAGATAAGACTGAATAGTAGAAGTTTTCCTCCAACGCAGCTTTCTGCTCCCACAGTAAAATAAAGGTTAGAAATCAGATCTGAGTGTGTTCTCCCTGACATTCCAAACTTGGACTGCTCTTATGACACACAAATTTCCCTTCCCTCTATATACCTATACAGCTTTTGACACATTCTATACTAAATTTTAGATTCTAGATATCAGATTTCCAGTGGAACTGATATGTAATTTAAGAAATTAATTAGAAAATACTTTCCCAACATTTAACAAAAGCTATACCACACGCTGATTCAAAACAATGTATTTCCAAAATCAGATACAACATTTGCTTTAGGTACCAGGATCTCTGAACTAAAGCTTTCTTCCTGTTATATAAAATTATTTAATAACTCCATTTATAGCCACACAGGTCACTTAATTTAATTTTATATTACACAAAACTGAATACACTGTTATGAACTATATTTGTTTAGCAACTCATATGTGCCTTCATGATTTTAAGGAACATTGTCCCTATTTAAAATAAGACACCATAATAGCTAAAAGAGTAACCTAGTATTATTGTTAATTAAATCAGTCAATATAAATTACTATGCAAAGCCTCGTATGTAATTCAGAGGAGAAAATACAGCTTTTTCCTTTCAGAACACACTCTCTGGAATAGAGATAAAGCTTCATTGATAATGTATAGCTGCAAGGCTTGTAGTTAAATCTTTGGTCAGAGATCAAAGCCAACCAGTTCCACCAATATTTAATTGGGGTTGGCAGCAGTGGGGAATCAGTCCTGGTATATTCCATTCCCGAATTCCAAGAATTTTAACTGACACAAATGTTTATGATTACAATTCTGAAATTGTTCTTCATATAAGGAATATTTGTTTGTTACAAATATCATACAGACCTCATTGATTGAGTGTCCTGCAAAACATTTTTTTAATTGCAAATGCTTAAAATTCAGACTCTCTGTAGTCTGTCCTTTTTTCTCTATGGTAGCTGGATAGAAGAGCAGTTCAGGTAAACTTAAAAAAAGGAAAAATGCCCTCCAAAACATTCCTTTAATGATCACTTCTGACAGTTTTTAGTTCATTCAACTTGCAAATTTCCTCTCCTTGGCAGAGAGTGTATTTTACCCCAAGAAGCTCTTGCCTGCTACAAAAACTGTTTATTCAGTGCGCTCAGTGAAAGGTGTACTCTGCAGAAACCCCAAAGTAAAATTAGCTTGCACTCAGCTTTTTAATTAAATCTTATATATTTGACATTTAAAAAGTGAGCCTTCCCCAGTTTAAGGCTGTGGGATAACGTTAACTAAACAAAATCCACCCAGAAACCTCGGACTGTACAAATGCTGTGCTCTGACAGGAAAGAGTTGATTAAGTTGACAATTTAAAATTATGAGGAAGGAAAGCATAGCATGTCTTTTTGGGGTTGTTTCATACTCTGCACAATAATTCACTTTCAAATACTTGCAACTCTATCAATTTGTAGCTTTTGGGTTGAATTTTCTAAGCAGGGTGAATGACTTTAAAAGTTTGGTGTTTTCTCTCACTCTTTTTCTTTTGGAAGATTTTCAAAAGAGGCTGTAGCATCCCTCAGGCTTCCTGCCCTGGCATGCAGAAGCTGTCTGGGAAGGACAAAGCCTTCAGCATTCCTCTACCATCAGTCCAAATTTAACCAGGCAGACCTCAAGAAAGTTCAACTTGTATGAAACCTGAAACATGGTTTTCACCTCTATTTCCAAAATCTGTTGCAAGCACTATCACTGAAGCAGCTGAATATTCCTCAGATGAATACTTAATAACCTGTTTTCAGCTTTTCTCTTTTTGGATATCACTCCTCAAAGACAGCTATAAGAAAAACTTCTCACAAGGTAGTGCTGCTTAGTTAAATAAAAATCTTACTTCTTAAGATATGGCTCAGTTGTTTTATTGTGCAATCTCAAATGGATCAGAACTCTGGAATAAGATCCCCTGGAGAACAGGGTTTTATTTTAAGGTGAAATATAACGTCACATACACAACTCCCCTTTGTTCTGGCTGCTTTAGCTGCCTGGGTGATGCAACACTGATGACATTTCCTATAATGTCTATTAAGGGCCTGCTGCTGAACATCTTTATTGGTGTTGCACAGCTTTTCACACTCACATTTAAGTAGGTGAGTCCACACGGATGATGTGCTGCTCTCACCTGCATTTTTAGAATTCTGGAATTGCATCACAATCATTGCTGCAAAGAGCTGAGAAACATTTTTATTTCCCCCCCACCCCAGTTAAATGTGGAAACACATCATTGTCTTGTCCACAGAGAGTGAGCTGTGGAAATAAGAACGATCTGTACTTCTATGGCTCTGCTCCTATTGCAAAATCTACACCAAGAAAGCATTTAAGCTTTCTCTTATGGCCAAGATGGCCATGAAAAAAAAAACCTATACCCACATCTGGTATTTGGCTGTATTAATGTGAAACATTCATCCTCAAAATTCCAGCTGAAATCCTTTCATATGCTTACTTTCCCCAAGGCCTTCCAAACACAGGTCTCCACGACCAGTATTTCTTCTACAGGGGATTTGCAGGGGCAAATTTAATTGTGTGGCACTTCTGATGCTCTTCACTCTTCCAAAGGGCATTTTGAGGCAGCTGCTGGCTCTCCCCACCAGGAGTGAAGAATCCCCCACTCCTCCTTTTACCATGAGAGGGAATGGTCCTCCTGAGGAATCCCCTTTCCTGCACGTGCCACGATCACCATTTCTATCTGCAGACTTCTAGGTAGGCTTTGCTACATGTTTGAAACAAGGAGCAGCACTACTCCCTTACAGAATCTTATAGCAGAAGTATTCCTTTTAGGAATTGTAACCTCTTACTGATAAGCTTAAAACAGTATGTTAAACAAGAAATTTAAGTTACTTCCGTTCTAAATGACTCTTACATCAGTAAAAATGCCTTGGGAAGGAAATTGAAGAAATAACAAATCTACTCAGGTCTTAGCAGAGATTAAAGCTTTCATCAAATGAGAAAACTTGGACTCAACTATCAATCCTCCAAAGTGGATCCAGATTTATCATTACTGTATGCTCAAGGCAATTTTTTTCTTTTTGCCACTTTTTTAAACCACACAAAATTAATTTTACAGGGAGTGGACCAGTGGGAATTCACTACTCCTTTGGAGAATTAAAAAAGGCTTGAGAACATTCTTTATGTCACTAATAAGAACTGGTATCACATGAAACCAGGTCACAACACATGCTTTAACTACAACAGGTCACAGTAAAGAGCATTTCTTCCTAAACAGAAAAGAATTATCTATTTCACTTCAAACTATCAAGTCAAGCCCAAGGGTTATTCTAATATAAAAGTTAGACAAGAAGCTGCTACTTATAAGGGGAAAACAGCTGTAACTGAATAAAACTTAGAAACTGCTTCCCATTATTTGGCTTGGGATTTTTACAATCAGCAAGGAAACAATTTGATGCTGTCTTCATATTTCAAAAATCATGGCATATGGGTAAAAAGCACCAGCCTAAGAAGCATTTCAGAACAATGGATCAAGTCTCTATATTGTCCATGTACACAAGATGGAAAAGCTCCATGGTTCAACACATTACATAATGTTTGCTTTCCTTTTTGTGCCTTTCAATTCAGGCCCTGAATGATAAACACCACAGGGCATTAAAATCTGGTCTCCCACAGTGAAATATTTTTTCTATTTCTGTGGCAAGCATGTAAAATTCAACCAATTAATCCTGGAAAAGTTAACAACCCAGCAGAATAAAGAAAGTATCAAAATTCAGGAACAGAGATTACAGTTTAATAGACCTCAAGAGCTCATCTTGAATTCAAGTGTAAGTTATTATCTGCAAAAATAGGAAGAATTGGATAGACAGTTCCTTAATTTTATATGATTACCAACATCTCATGAAACAAAAGCTACATTGAAAACAGCACACTTATCATTTTAATGTCTGTTTAGTTTAAGTAACACTAAATTAGCTTGACAACAAAACCAACACATATTAAATGCATTTATCTCATTTTTAGATACACGGGAATATAATTTTCTAATAATTATTCCACAAGGCTGAGTCAGTTGTAACAATCTAGTCACATTGTCACACTGGTGTATATTAAATGCAGCAATACCACCAGATTTTACCATGTTCCTAACTCTAAGATCTATATTTATTTCTCTCAGAGGCTTGTGATTTATAGCTTCACATAAATGAAAAGCCACCATTCCTAGAACAGCCAAATATTTAATATTTGGGAGGGGTAGCAGGCATAACAATGGAAGTACTTCTCCAGAAGTCATTGTATCTGTACAACATGTGGCAAAGTATTTTCCTAGAAAACTGACACTGGATCTAAAACCTGCAGTGTTTGTGAGCTTTAAGATGTATTTTCTTTCTGAGGTTCTGTCCTGCCACATACAGAGTGTCCAGAATCACCTCTGGGTTGCAGATTCTCCACTGAAGTACACACAGTTTCCTGAATGCTTAAAAAAAATGGTGTTTTGCTTGCGTAATTACTGGAGAAACAGGCTACAGCTTACCTAAGTAGGGAATACAAGGAGTCATCTTCAAGCTGCTGATATAGTCTCTAAGCCTTTTGTAATTATCTTCTTTACTCATAACATATTCCAGCTTGTCAAAGGTGGCTTTATCCTTCCGACTCAGTAACTAGGAAGAGAAAAAAGAAGGCAAAACCAGATGAGTTTAAGTTTGATCATTATGATTTCCTCTCTTACCCTTACAAGCACAGATTTCCATTTCCCCATTGTTGTTGCTGTGCTGGTTTTTTATATTTTTTTTGTTTTGTTTTGTTTTTGTTGTTGTTGTTGTTTTTTGGGGTTTTTTTGTTTTTTTTTTAAACTCAACTTCTTCAGAACAACATCACATTTACTCCTTAAAAAGGAAAACTTAGAAAGTTTACAAAGAAAAGCAACAATTCTGGGTGTCAAATGTAAAAATACTTCTAAACATTAAGCAGGTAAAAACACTCATGTCCTGAAGGATCCTTCTGAAACAATGTAAGTTATCAAAAAATTAATCTAGCTATCACACATCACAACTTCATGTGCTGCCCACATCAGGAATATTCACTCCAGTAACATTTTTACTCTGATTATCCATAAGTGTGTTGGCTTGGGATGGAGTCAATTCTCTTCATAGTGGCTATTATGAGCTGAATCTTAGATATGAGTAAGGATTTCATCTACGATTTTTTACAGAAGGCTCATGGACTTGAATTCATCTGCCAACTGGCAATTTCACTGGCTCTTAATATTACAGAAATGTTCACTTTGAACAGAATACTTAAAAGTCATGGTTCTCCTTCATTATCCATTCCTCCTGCCTCCAATCCCTTCCTTTGACAGAACTAACAAGAACCAGGCTCTCTTTGTAGGATGGGGAAAGGAAGCAAAGATATTTTCCAAACATCTTGCTGAACTGCTGCTGCAAAACTGCCTCAAAATCTTCACTTCAATCCAGAGTCAGAATTTAACAAAGGGTGTAAGGTGTTCCCACCAAACATTTTGGCAGGAGATTCAGCATTCCAAGTCCCAGTTATAACTTTTCCCCTACAATGCAATTACAAGAGTCAAATTACTGAATTTCTACGCATATTCCCATTTTACTTCAGTTAAAGATCAACCTAGGTGAGCCTGACAGAAGTGAAATCTCCCTTCTGTAAATACACTGCTGAAATAATTTATTTTTACTTCCATTTCTCATATCCAAGTCTTCACGAGGACAGACAAAACTAAACACTGGCTTTCAAGAGAAAGCCACAAGTTGAAAGTGAATTGTTAATTGTCTCCCAAGATATACTCATCACTGACATTCCAGCAATTAATTTGCATCTTTAATTTAGGTTTGGTTCCAATACTCAAATGAACAGCATCTGCACTGACATGACTCCTTTCCATCAACTCAAACATGACATTTATGTTTTGAAGTTCATCATCTCAAAGCTGGTTCCAGTTTTATCAGCCTGGACTAGCTTATTTCTAATAATAATCTAGAATATTCTGTCATCACTTCATGTCTGAAAGGTTTTTGTACCTTTGCAGACTGAAAGGTAAGACAAGCCTAACAGATATAATAATGGCCTGATTTCAAACTTGAATGAAATTAACTGTATTTTCCTCACAACATGGTGATTTGCACACTCTCATTCAAGTCTGATGTCTCTTTTCAGGTTCTTTGGATCATCTTGTAACAAGCTGTATGCTTTCCCCTGGTACTTGTAGGCCAGTTCATGCCATGCCTCCACCCAGAAAAGTCCAGAGAAGCCAAACACATTAGAAGTGTTTCTGTGAGGGCCAAGTGAGGACCCATTGTTAAGTCCTTCAGTTTTGGAGCTGCTTCTTTTTTAAATAATGTTTCTTCTTCTGTCTCTTTGATGAAAAGAACAGTAAGTAAGTAAGTGCTGTACATATGCAGACACAATAAAAGCTAAGGCTGACAGTTTATAACAGCAGGGAAGGACTTGGAACCTTCTAAATTGCTCTTGGCTTTCTAGTTATAGTGTGCCAGCACTGAATACAACCTTTTTGAAATGCCAGCAAGAAGAGATGAGGTCTCAGGATGCTGGCTCACCCCACTTCACATATTTAATGATTATTTGCTTCATTGCCCAAACCCTCACTGATCATCTAGAATTCCTTTACATTAAATGGAGAGAAGCTGAATATTCTCTTCCGTGAACTTTCCTGGAAAGGCTCACAATTCTTCTCAAGTTTTGAATGGGGCAAATTACACGTTAAAAGCAGCACTCACTATTCTCCAGAGTTCAGAGTGTGTGCAGGCAATGAGCGAGACAAATTTCAGACAAATTCAGACATACCGTCAGAAGACGTGAATTTCATCTTTTTTAGGAACATTAGATTACCAAGCAAGTATTTAATGGCTCCTTTCAACTCTAGATTCCAACCATATTTTTTTTTTAGGGAATGAATATACTTGCAGCTATTTTCCTGACTTTGTAAATCAAGTTGATTGAGGGTTGCTAGAAACCATCTCAGAAATGCAGAAGAAATTCTTCCTTGTTGAAGTTTTTGGAGGGTTCCTGTGTAACTTACCCAAATGCCTTCATGATTTAAATAAAGGCTTGGTGTACCTTTTCTTGCTTTTAATATATAGAAAGCCAAAGGCTTAAAATTATCTTCAGGAATTTATAAGCTGAACTTCCAAGAGAAGGACAACTAAATCAGTATGCAGTGCACATTGCTGGGAGCTAACCTGCAACTTGAATTTGCAAAGGCTTATGTAAGATGATGAAAAGCACAGACTCACTTGGGATTACAGGAGGATCAAACACCTGCAGAAATGGGAGAGAAGTTACCTGGAATTTCAGAGGTTGGAAGAGGGATAAACTTTAAAGACTGATACAAATGTCAAGAGCACACAAATAAACCTTGTAATTGCAAGCTAGTGCACAACCAAACATCAAAAGAACCTGGGGACTCCCAGTTCTGAATGGTATCATCATGGTAGTAATTAATGTGGGTATTATTAATATATGGTAATAGTTACATTTAATTTGAGCTGTGTACAGAAAGAGATTTAAAAATCGACTTGGCCTCACAGTTACATAAAACTGTTGAGGCATCAGTTCCTCAGTATAAAATCTGAAAACCCGAAGCTCTCCTTGAGATCATTTTGAAGTGTTAATTTCACTAATATTTCCTCAGAGAGATTTTTGGTATTTGGAAGCAATGTCTAACTTAATTGTGCATTTGTAAAACGTGACCAGAATTCGAGATGAGTATCTTGGCAGAAGTGAATTATATTCAATTCTGTGAATAGTTATCAACTGAATGACATTTTCACACAGTTATCAGACAAATAAACTTTTTGCAACATCCATGGATGTGTGTCCAGTGGAAGTTTTCTGCTTTTTTTAGTAATCTATTTATATGAATATTGCACAGGAGCTTCTCAGTCACCTGATTTATTCTGCCATACTGAATGTCACATTCATCTGAAACAGCTGAAAAACTACATAATATATGGAATATATATGGAATAAGGACTGTTTTCTAAGCTCTAAAGTATCAATGAGCAAAAGTAATTCCTAATATTCTTATCAAGGATACAATGATAAACAATATTAATGCCTGTCAAAAAACAGATGACAAAAAAATGATGCCAAAGAATACTGTCCTTTCACAACTGAACAAAGGCAGAACTACAAATATACTGTCCAATGGAGTTGTAACTATGAAATGACAATGAGAAGTGCTAGAGTTAGTTATCAGTCAGAAAAACAACAAATCTCTTTATGGAAACTGAATCAAGAGTTTCTGAACATCTGCTCTCCATAGCAAAAAAAAAAATAAAAATTCCAACAGCATAAACCCCTAAATGACTAAAGTATGACCTGCTTTGGCATTCAGAATTTTCCAGCAACCAAATACAAAATAGCTTCTGGCCACATGAGATGCCTCTGCATTTAGCAGAATCTGCAGGGAACTATTTTTCAGAGGAAAATATTTCTACAGCAGAATGGAAAAAAAAAAAATTAAGAGGAAATCATAGACTTCAAAGGAACTAGAAGCATTATGCATGCAGCAGAACAAAGTTAAAGCTTTCTGTAGTAACTGCTGCATCCTTGAAAACAAGCTTCAGGATGTTGTATTTACCTGAGAACAAATTAACCCCACTCCCTTATCCTGCTGGCTCACTTACCGCCCATGTCTTGGTCAGCCTGAAGATGGGAGCACTCTGGAGGCCTGACACCACTGCCATGAGAGCATGGAGGTTATTCAGTTCATACAGTTTCTGAGGACAAAAAAAGAGAAAAACAATAACAATAAACAATATTCCAAGTGCTGACAATAGTGAATACAGAATAAAAAACAATATAAACATGCAGAAATCTTGCGTGGTCTAAAATGAAGTGTTACAGCGAACTGCTCTGCACACAGCCACTTTTATGGCACCTCCTAATTTTTCATTACTGCATCTCTATGGTTTTGGATTAGATCAACTAGCTGTTTCATAGCCCATAGAGAACCCTTAAAAATATCTATATAGACACACATTTTGGGGAATATATTAGAAGTGCCAGAAATTTTGTGACATTCAAACCCAACAAATTCCTTTCATAGCATTCAATAGTATTTTAAAACAACATGCCAGAAAGGACAACCCAGTGAAGCATGATGTAATCATGTCAGTACCCAAAGTTTATGCAACTTCCAAGCTACATCAAAGCCCCCAAAAAATATATTAGCAGGATGAAATCAAGGAGGTAAATTTCAAAAGCCACATACATGGAGTACTCCTCTCACTGAAAGGTCATTTCTGGGATATGACAACTAACTAGTGGAAAGCAACAACCCAATCAAAACTGAACAGCAAAAAACGTTAGGGCAAAATAATTCCCTTAAAAACTCTCTAAAAAACACTGTGATTGAGTGCATTTTTTCACACATTTGGAATTTCCCTCCCTTTTCTTTTTTCCTTTCCCTCTGTCTCCAAAACTGTCTGCTGCCTTGGCCAGGTAACCACTGGTACTACTGTCTTGAAAGCTTAAAAACAGTCTGGAGGAAAATGGTCCTCCTGAAGTTTTTCTGCAACATCAGTTGTTCTGATAGCTGTGAGCTCCCAGAGATCCAAATTACATTCATGTTTGGTGCAGTGCACCCAAATTGAGGTTTTAGCTCTAACAGAGAGACTTTCCTAAGGAGAAATGATACTCAATCACATTATTGCATATCTTGTTTAATCCATTTGGAGTATTTGCCAAAGTAGGTTAGGATTCCAGCATGAAAAAATAAGGAACCCTTCCTATCAAAAACAATGGTGGAAATCCTTTCTCTTACTTGAAACTCAGCCTTTCATGAGGCAAAAGGACAAAAGAACTAGACCAAAGGAATACTCACTAAATCCTGAAGATCAAAGGAGAGCCTCTATTTGGAAGGATGAAATCCAAAACCCATGGATGGTTTTCTGGCTAACAGTTTTGGATCAAGGCAAATGATTCTCTCTCCACTTAACACACTGCCAGGAAACTGACAGCCTTTTATGGAACAAAGCCCTCACAAGTATTAGTCAGAAATGCCATTTTTAATGGCACCCCAGTAGCATTTCCAGTCTGGGTGCTCAGACTCCCGTGATTCCAGCAGGTCCTTCTGACAGTGGAAGTTGGTCCACACCTTCTGATGAAGTGCTTCCCTCTCCTCATCCTCTTTTGGGAGGATTCTCTAGTGACCAAGTGTAGAGGGTAATCAGTGTTTTTTGGGGCAAGGTGGAAGGGGTTGGATGTTTGTCCTACACCACAGTCCTGTTATCCTTCCAAGTAGTCCTGCTGAAGTTTGTCCCTCCACTTACACAATAACCCCTCACACACACATAACCCAAGGAAGGTAATAAAGTTCACTGTCCCAAAGGATGGTGTAGCTGATCTGAAATTAAAAGAAGGGCTTTCCCAGCTGCTGCCAGCAGTGAAACAGAAGTCATCACCAGCCAGGACAGTCTGGGAACTTCAGGGGAATTAGGTATAATTATTTCATGCATTAAGCACTATAGATGAGATACCATTGCAGGACTGCCAGCTATACAACAGGTTGCCAGCACAAGGAATTCACTGTGGAGTAGATTTACAGTTCTCTAAAGAAAAAGTAATTAGTGTGACCTCTGGCACCAAGCTGCTTTGATAACAGCTTTGGACAGCAGAAACTCCTTCCAACAGCCCCCACTGCAGGAACTTCATGTCAGCAGCCACATGGAAGCAAAGCCAAGGTAACAAGCACACAAGTAAATGAACTGATATAAAAAACACCCTATATACAGAGCTTCTTGCTTTTTGCAGCTGTGATTTTTACAGCTGACAGCTAAGCAAAGCTCAACTATCTGATTGTTAGAGCACATAGTTGCCTCTAAGCCAGCAGCACTCCAGCAGCCACTGCAGCCTGCAAGGCACTGGTAAGGTCAAGCATGTTCAGGGTGCTGCATCCAAAGTTGAGCCAACAACAGCCAGCACTGCCCAGTCCCACCCTAGTATGAACCAGACCTGAGCCCACCTGGCTTCCCACATCCTTTCTGCACTGTGGCCACACAGAGCTGAACCTCCCCCTCCTATGGAGGGACATGGATCATAAAGCCAATTTTTTAATGTTTGTATTTCAAACAAAACCAGAAGAATTGACTTTTAAAAATACATGAGATCAAGATACATTGACTCGCCAGATATCAAAGGATGCTTAAGAGAGATCATTAACACTATGACCACAGCATGATTATTGAGCAAAGCCTGCAGAATCCTATAAAATTAGTTCTTGCTTTGCCCAAAGTTGAGAGTCAAATCCCACGGGAGAAAAATACTGCTTCATTAAAAGGGGGCTTGTCAAGACAGGGAATGAACTTGAATACAAAATTAATTAATTAACAAATACTTTACATCTTTGTTTTTGCAGGTAACCCAGGGTGGTCACAGCAGTCAGCTATAGTAAAAGGCAGCCAACATCTGACAGCAAAAACTTGAAAAACATCCCCTTCCTTTCACTACTGTGAAGAAGTTTCACTCTATTTGAAGGGCTATATATCACTCCAGATTTACTGACCCTTTTCTCATGAATGTCAGTCCAAAAGGCTTTAGGAAAGACTGAGAACTCCAAAATGTCTTCTGAATCAAAGTCTATTTTTCAAACCGCATTTTTAAAGTTGATACTATTTGAGTAAGAGATAAAAGATCCTTTTCCTTCCAATGGTAAAAGCAAACAAACCATTTCTGTTCTGACTAATTCATCTTAAACCATCTCTAGACTTTTCAAACACAGAAGCCAGACAGTTATTGATGTCAACAGAAACAACCACAGCTAAGTCAGGTTATTTCCCCTTGAGTATTTTTGAACTGATCAAACTGGGTATAAAACCTTTGATTGTCACACCCCCTTCACAATACAAATTCTTACCTTTGCAGTTTTGATGTAGTGGCTCAAAACCTCAGCTCGTATTTTTAAAGTCTGTGCATGCAGAATCTCTCTAACAACCCAGAAGCTTACCTAAAATGTAGAAAAAGTGCCTTTTAAGAAATACAGTTTCAACACTATACTTTTAAAAGTTTTATTTATTTTTATCGAAGTTTGATCTACGGAAACAGACTTGAGTTCAGGCTAAGTCTGAGGTTGAGATCACATGCAAAGCAAAAGGCAGAACAAACTTAGAGCAGTGCTCTCCCAGGGAAAAAAAAGATTATGAAGAAATGTTATGAAGAACCTACAAAATGAAGGAATATAAACACTAACATTGAATCATATCCATTGGTTTGCTTTCCCACATCAAAGCCATGCTACTCATCAACTCCTATATGAACTGAACAGCTTCAACTACAGTTCACTGCCATTCCCAACACCTCAAAATAAAATTAACCCTAAAGAAAATCAGAACCCAGCTTCTAGTTTATACTCTTATTTCTGGCTATGCCAGTTATCTGCTGATGTCCAGCACAGCATCCTACTCTTAGCTAAGCTCTCCAGGACTGCTGGAGAGCTATGTAATTCACTGCTATGTAAGATCCCTGCTAAATTCAGTATGAAGAGTGGTTGCTGCATTTCATACTTACATCAATGTCTCATAAAGGCTCTGCTTTGAAAGTGTTTGGTAATATGTTTAAACTCCACTGTTTGCTCTTCTCTGCTCCCTCCCACCCTCTCCCCTCACAAAGAATGATAAAAATTGAACACCATAATAAAGCAGTAGCAAAGAATTAGCAAAAGGTAACAAATACTGCAGCTTTTATTCAGGCATTTGCTATGAGTTAGGAAAAAAATTAATTATCATCAAGGTACAGCTTGGCTGGTATTTACAAAATTATGGCAAACAGTGTATAAAGAAATTTACTTTAAGTTTACTCTCATACATGAAAACCTTTCAACACATCACGTTGCTTTGATTTTTAAGTGATGCTAAACTACTTCTTGTAAACTAACATTGTGTATGTATCAGGGTTACTGGCCAACATCTCAGTTAGAAAAATGAAATATCCTGTTCCACTTTGTACAGTACAATGGCTCCTAAGACAGAAGAGCACAAGATCAACACCTCCAAAATGATTACATTTGCAGTGAAGCTACAGAGATCTGATGAAAACTGGGATGTTAAATCACAACAGCTCTTTGGAACTGAGAAATGGAAGAATGACAAGAAAACCCACAAAAAGTCCCCACAAACATCTTGCATAAGAATGACTTTCCTATGGTCTGTTTGTCTAAGATTGTATTAGCCAGGAAAGAATTAACCATGGAGCTCAGGTTTCTGTTTACTTTTATTTTTCTTCATTTTCTTTCATTTTTTTTCTTTTTTGCAAAGCAAAATATCCACTGACAAAACGTGTTATCCTCACAAACAAAGAGAGGTTCCATGTGATTAAAAAAAAATCTCAGCATGTTGCCATGCTCAAAAATGGCAGATGTTTTTGAAACCACCATTTAAAAATTATCTCATTTTTGATGGTACATCATGAAATTGTAATCTGAAAATCATAGTGACAGTACCTGTATTTAAATGACAGATTGCCATTCCCTTTTTTTAGTCATAAAATAATTTTCCTTTAAGGACAGGGCTCCAAGTGCTGAGACAATCTCAGGAGTACTGAGAGAAAAAGAGAACTGAAACTCTTGCACCTTCTTCATTGTTTAGAAAATAAGAATATGTAGATTGTTGCCAGGTCTTCTCCAGTATTTTCTTTCTATTAATATTAATATTAAATATTCTGAAGGGGTCCTTACTGAGTCCTGCCAGGAGCAGGGATTCACACTCGATGATCCTGATGGGCCCCTTCCAACTTGAGATATCCTATGATTCTATCAAATACAGAAGTACCAAATACATAAAATATTTGACAGTACTTCAAAATTTTGCCATAAAAAGCTTGACCTCATTTTAGTGCTCTGTAGTTACACAGCTTGAGAAAAAGAGCTTTTTTCCCCTGACTGATCAATGAGTTTTTAAGGTGACACTTTCTCACTGAAGACCAAGGGAATTTAAATTTTAAACACAGATTTCTGCATCATAAAGAATCAGGTAAGGAGAATACACACCTTAAGATACCAATCTCTTAAAGTTCACAGACTGTTTATGTAACAGGAGAATGCCTGTGATGAGCCAGACTGTGACACACTTGCTTGGAACACAGAGCAACACTCCAGCATTTTCATCAGGACAAAAATCCCCTGAGTTCCTCTGTCAGTCCTGACTTCTGTGGAAGTTCACTGGCTTCACACAAACACTGTGACACACAAATTCTTGTTTGCCTAAGGAAGTCTGGGTTCTGTCCCAGTCCAAGCCTGACCTAAGCTCAACAACACTTCCAAGCTCTTGCAGGAAAAGAAAAAAACCCAAACAAACCAGAACAAATTTTCTTCGAAGCTTAGAGCCCTCCAGTCCCTTCAGTGATAGAGTAGGCAGGAGATACAGAATAAAACACACTTAATCACTTCTACTTCAACCAATTCCAGTCCTCTCTGATGTGTTTTTACTGTCATAAACACAGGTTTTTGGTCTTGTTTATTAACTGGTATCTTTAGACAGCACCATAACCTAATGTATTGCACATATTGAAAAAATCAGTAATTTAAAGAAATACTTTTGTTTCATTCTTTACATAAATAATACATATTTGTTCCATATATTCCTCTTCTGCTGCATTTAAATGTTATTACACCAACATCAATCAGCTACATGACTCCCTGCCTTTGGGTATGCTCAAGGCAGCATTTAAAGCCTTGACATATAATTGTATAATTATATTCTTCCCTATTAAGGTCAACTGAGAATAAGAGGCTTAACTTTGAATATATCTGATCTTGAATCACACCTTAAGATTTTTAAATAATCCCATGTTTGCCTTATCTGAAATATCAATTCTGTTATACTGGCACTTTTAAGTTCATAGTCATTGCTTCCAAAACTATCTTTGCTTCCTGTGCTACAGAAAGATTGGGAAATATCCCTTTAATACTTTCTGGATTTTTCTTTCAGGTAGCTTCCATGCATACTAGCCACTCCATTTCTTAATTTCCCAGTTAATCCCAGTAATCCCAGTTAAATCCACTGCAATTCAGCAACACTACAATACTCAAGAAAAAGTTCTTCATACAGTGTTTGCATTTGGGTTAAAAAGGATGCAAAAAACCCAAAAAACACTCATAAAAGAACATCCAGCAAAACACAAAATTTTCCTTTTGCAAGTGGGATCTCTTCCTTTAAAAATTTTCCAATGTACTGACTGTAGCTGACAAGTTTCTCTAATATTTTAAGCTCTGTGGCAGCTCGGTTCCATTCCCATTTAAATAAAAACCTCAAGAAAGAGGTTTTCAGCTGAGGGACTCTGATAACCAAGAGACCAACAGTGACCTTCACACAAACAGTTACCTTAAAAAATTGTTTATTCAAACATATGATAAAGGTTTATTTTCAAAAGGTAAGACAATGTTCTAGGAAGTGAACTTGGCAACTGAGCACTCTGACAGGTTTACCAGTAACAGAATATATACAAACTACTTTCAGAAGAAAGCTAAAAAAATGAGAGTTCAGAGTTTAAAAAAAAAGTGAAGTTATGTAATTTTAAAAAAAATTAATATTAAATATGTTGATCTATATGAACTACCACTCAACAATGAATTCTGCAAGAGCAGGAGAGACCTGGCGTGGAAGGACTCAACTGATTTCTCTTCCCTGAACTCAATCTCTTTTTACAACCACCACATCCAAATATGCCATAACTAATGCTGGAACTGCCCAACTTCATCCTCAGTGGAATGCAATCAACAGCACAGAATCATCACTGCTTCCAAAATACTACCTGCACATCATTTTGTTGTGAAGCAGCTGTTAGTAATTTAATATTCTCTTTACTTAAAAAGTGAGAGCTGTTAATGGTTTTCCTTTGGCAAGCTGGGGGCAAAAAGGGAAGAGACAGATGCATAATGCTTAATTTAAACCCAGTGAAATTCCAAAAGTTAACAAAATTTTGATGACATGTATTCCTGCCTGAGAAGGCCACAAGTCCCTATGACTTTCCCAATTATTTATTTTAGGATTAAGCATTAGAACCCCCCAGGTAAGTGGAGCAGAAACTATTATCTGTCCTTTTCCCTTTCTACTCCTATACTGATGGCTTCATTGATGCCAGAATAAAGGCTGATACAAAATTCATGGAAGTCCTTATTCCCATGATAAGGTTTCCCCTCCTTCCTTCTGGCTACTGAGCGTATTTTACCAATTCTTTAGTACATCTGAAGTTGACTTCAGGCAGCTCCTGCAGTTCCTGAGTACAGCACATAACAACTGGGAAGTCCTTGATGAGTTACACTGCCTAACATGGTCTTTACTACAAAAATATTCCACAATATTCAGCAAAATGGAACGTTTCTTTGAAGAGTCAAAGAAATCACTCAAAATACTCACTTCCATGAGTAAGTGAGGTAGCAAATGCTGCAATCAGTGGTGTATCAGTGAGATTAGTGTCAAAACCATGAGTATTTTTACACTAGCCTACATATTCTAACAGGAGCAACTTCAAAAAAAAAAAAGCTAGATCAGGAAAATTTAAACTAAATGCAGAACAGCAACAACAACAAGAAAAAAACTAACACACACACAAAAAATCCCAAATTCTTGACCAAACCCCCCAGATCTCAATAAATGGTAAGTCAGAAAAAGTTTGCAGTGTAACATTTTTTCTTCAGTCCAATGGAGAATCAGGCAAGTGTCCAAAACCCAAATCCAAACAAGCATTTCAGTCAGTAGGTTAAGAAATATTCTAAGTGTTGTCAGTGAAAAGTAATAGGATTTGATCATATCCTCAGTGAGAATAATCATGAAAAGTGAGAAAGTACACAAGAATTGATAGGGGAAAAAAGCCCTGTAAAGTTGAGAGGTTTGGTCTGAGATTCAGATGATTAAAAAAGATCTCTCTAAGTCTGAGACTGGGTACTGAGGTTACGTCTGCAAGGCAGCTTGTAAGTTTGAGACCTTATTAAACATTTACAAGAGGAGAGATGAGAGTAATAGAATTACTTCATCTGAAAGAGAAAATATGGCATTACTTAAAAAGACCACCACAGTTTTGAGAGATGATTGGGTAACTACACAGCTGGACTCCTCCAGCTTTACTTGTGGAGAAAGGGAGAATCCTGTTGTTCTTTTAATAGTTCATTTTATACAGAGAAATTGTTGAGTAAGAGAACGAAAAATCTCAAATATACTACCTAAAAGTGATGTCAAATAGAGAGTTAAAGAAGAAATTTTTTTACAGAAAAATTGTTTGGAATTTTTAAAAGTTTGCCTAGAATCACTTTAAAAACGTACCTATGCTGACAAGAAGCTTCTATTTCAAACAAAATCATCTATGTCAAGCATAAGACACTGAACTAACACAGAAGGAAATTACATCTAATTACTAGTCCAGAAATCCTGTATGTCAAGTCTTTAACCTGTAATTATGATTCTGTCTTTTATATAAAAGACAGCCAGCAGTTCTGGAGAAAATATGCACTTTTCATCGATTGCTGCTATTTAAAACAGAGTATTTCTTCAACACTGGTTTGGTCTTTCTGCATATCCTGTAGATAAAGTATCTGCTAAAAGGAGTTCCTTAAGTTGTCAAGTAATCAGCTGTGATCCAAAATAAAAGTGATGTGCCAGAACACTTAATCCCACAGACTTTCTAAAATGTGTACATGTAATAATGCTGGAAAAAAATAACTCACATGATTGAATCTTCTGGTGAAAGCAACAGCATTCGGTGCAAAACGGTATTTCTCTTTTTTATTCCAGCCACAGCTTGCCAGCTCCTGGGAGAACAAGGATGAAAATTCACTTCTTGAATTCAGTGCATAACACATGTTCAGAGCCAAAGGCATATGAGACACAAATCTTGTAAGTAATAAAATAACAGAGCAACAACACATTGAAGTAATACAGTTACACTTGTTCTGATTCCTTCTGCAAATTGAGACTACACAAGTGTCATTTCTGAATTATGCAGAGTTATTGGATTATTACAATTTATCTTTTGCTGAATTAGAGCTTTCCTAATTTTGTTACCACAGAAAATCCAGCTTCAAAAGTGAATCTGAGCTAGAGAGCCAAATGTCCTTTTGTTTTTATTCACTTTCTGAAGATATTTAAAGAGATGATACACCTAATTAACTCAATCTAAGACATGTCCCATATTTTTAACTTGGCATGTTGCATTAAAGAAATAACCAAAAAAGTGTCATTTGCAGTAACAATAAAAGAAACAGTATTTTCCATTTTCCCTTCCAAAGGAGTCTATTTTGGGAAACTGCATCACCTTGTTATTTACTATCACTTAATTTCAACAAAGAAGTTTTCATGAAAATCATAAATAACTAAATGTAGCAAAATGAGCTCTTCCATTTGTATAAAACAGCACATGAACAGATGCAAAGACAGCATTCAACACACAACCTGTTCCACAGTGCTAACAAGAAAAATAATCAATATAGACACAGCTTACTTGATTCAAGTGGTACAATAGCAAAGTACAGCCCTTCATTTTTACTTATTCATGTGTTCCTTCCAGAACATCCACTCTGAAGTGCTCTCAGTTTTATCACCATGCTGAAAACTCCTCACTGAAGCCAGATTCATGCTACACATCCAGCTACCACATAACTTAGGTCATATGACTCAACATGTAACCAATAATTGTGATATTTAAGGCACAGTTTAGAAGAATTTGGTATCTGGAGAGTATTTTTTTTTTTTTAAACTTTTTTAATTCAGAAACTTCTTAGCATCTTTTCAACCAATGTTGCAAAACTACTAAAGAATTTTATGCCAGTTAAGTAGGACCCTGAATTCTTCTCCTTGAAGTTTGTGGTGTGCAGGTATTTGTTAGAGAAGACCCAGGAGATTCCTGGCCAGGCACTGGAAAGAATGCAGAATTCTTGGCTTTGTATTTAGGGCCATTCCTTCAAATTTCACTAGAAAGTTGTGCCACCTAAATCTACCCTGGCAAATCTGGCGTGTTCAGCACAGGAAAGCACATACCCCTGTCCTTATACCTCTGCTTCAGTGAGTATGCATGAGACAACCATACAGCCCTGAACTACTCCTGCTCCAAAGGAGAGCATGCTACTGGAGAAAGGAGCCGTTCAAGAGACTCTTGATTGCACTCTCTATCCCTCAGCATCTCTAGTTTCCACTGGAATCACAGCTCTGCACTTGGAGGAACACAAGGGAATTCATCCACTGGCATCTGATAACCCTTCCTTAACCATGGGAGAAAATTAATTGTCACCTCAGGTGACTGTGCCTCAACACCCCTGGCAAAAGTTTTGGATGTGTGTCTTCCCAGGCAGGAGCAGGATCTTTTGTTCTGCAGTATTCTCAAATCTGTTGCCAATGATGTCTGTACCCTGTGGGCCCTTAGATTTACAGGGCCAGGGCAATGGAGAGCTTCTCCCCAGAATCATTATGTGTTTTTCACTTAGTGATGAGAATTTCAATTGAAGGACGTGTCCTAAATTTGTAAGAAATTCCCATGTTTTCCCTAGACCTGTGCCATCAGTTCTGATTCTTCAACAGCTTAGGGTGACACCCACACCACTGTTCAGGGACAGACACAGGAGAGGCATAGAGCTTTCAGAGTTCTGAAAGCATTTTTCCCTCCCTTTAGGAAGTGTAGGAAACACTTCCTCATCTCACTTAAAAGACCCCTCTCCCTTGTGCAGCCAACTTTCTTTTCTCTCATCTTTAAACTAAAAGAAGAGTGGTTTCCCTTTGCCTGTCAGGCTCCCCAGCACGACCACCTGAGCTTTCTGCCTCATGGGACCCTTGCTCAGAACCCTCTTGCCCCTCTCTAGAAGCTGCCTGTGTGAACTCACTGCCCTTGGCACTGCCCAGCCCGCTGCCTGAAGATGCCATCAGCAGAAGAGCAGCCACCAAGGTGTTTGCCCTCCCTGGATTTGGCCTGGAGCAGTCCCATACAATCCCAACAAGGACACATCTGACTGCACTCATGATGGCAATAAAACACACTCACACACCACACTGGAACTGAGAAACCACTCTTATCCTTCTATAAAAATACCCACTTCTCCGTTAAACAGGCTGTTTCTTTCTTACTGTATTTCTTGATCTTCCTCTAGGATTCCTTTTTTCATCAGAAACTTCAAACCTGAAGTATTCCCCAGGATTATTTCCTTATCTGCCAGTCAGCTACATCATTACAACCATCAATTTCTTATTTAATGTGGTACATTTAAATTGATGTGAAAAACTGAAAGACATAGGATCAAGAATACAAAAGTGGAACTTCCTCTGTCACCCATTTTGGTTTTCATTCCCTTTTGAATACATAGCATTTTATTTTCCTTAAGAAAATACTGTGGGAACATTTGAATTATAACCTGTACCACACATCAGAGAGTGAGATTGTGTTTCTCACCAAAACCTTTATCTAAGTCAAAGGGAAAGTTTCAAAAAGAGGAGAGAAGCAGCAAGGATTAATAGTGGAACTGTTCTACAACTTCAGAGTGAGCAGAGATTAAGAATACTCAGTCAGTTGTTTTTTTCACTGCCCAGCCTGGCAAAGCAGAGGGGATGAAGAGGTTAAAGACAATAAGCCAGTGGAGATTTTCAATATGAACACATATGGGCAAATGATTTTGGATGATGTACTAAAACATATAAAGCAAGTAATCAGATTTTCCAAAAAAACCAAATTGATGTGTTCTGCAAAGGGTCATGTGGCTGTTATTTAATGTTAACACAACTACCAGCAGCACAACCAAGCAAGTCTAAGACTCCCTTCTTTTACAGTAAAGCTTTACAGTCACTGCTCTCTAGAAAGCCACAACCACTACAAGAGAGGGAACAAAAACCAACATAACATTTGCCTTTCCCAGGGAATAGAAGGAAATCTTATGACTGACTGGGGGAACTCCGTAATATTTTTTTCCCCCCTAAAAATTAAAATGCAAACTGGCTGCTTTCGTACAGATAGATGTTTATGTCAGAGAGGTGGGTTCTTTGCAATCTTTATTTCTTATACTACAGCCCACTAACTATTGATTAACAAAAACCCAGTAATTCCTTCTACTTTCTCAGAAGTAACTTGCAGGTATTTTTAATGAAGAAGGTGGTTTCCAGAATTCAGGAATGCTAGAGCCTGCATACAGCTCAGGCAGAGGATTGTGTCACTAAAGAGTATCTAACCATGGTAATGGTTCAAGTCCCTGCCTCTGGCTCGCCCCAAATGTTAAGGGATCCACCACTTTCCTTAATCCCAGCTTCTGTGGGCAACACTAAGCTTTCACTCTGTTTTTTCACCAAGCATGAAATGGTGAGTTGTAGTGGATAGTGTGCAGGAGCTTGAGAACACATTTTAACCCACAACATTGCTCAGAAATTTGAATATAAACAGAAATAATTCTATTTACTTGCTACAGATAGAGGCAAAAGGCTGCCAAAGTATGTCAAAGTGTGCTGTAAGCATGTTGATTTTGATGCAAAAACAACTACATATTGCTTTGAAAAGTGTTATTCAGTTCTGCTTCCTTTTAAGATAACCAAGATGAAATCCTGGTATTGCTTTTTATTAAAAAAAGGCCACCTGTAATGATTTAAGAAGTATTTTAACACAATGAGGAAGGTGCAACACAGTAATTTATAAGATATTTAAAGAACACTGCACACACAGCCTGAAGATGAAAATTCATCTCCAGCAACACAAAAAAAGTTAAGCTTAAGTTCTGAGTACATCTTTCAGAAAGTTTATTTTGAGAAAATAAATGAACACACATTAAAGGCTAAACATTTTCATTCAGGTGCCATTCTGCAGTTTGGGGAGCAAAGGGGGATTCACAACCCGTGTAACGAAGATTTGCTGGTGAGTTACAAATTGCAATAAACACCCTGTTTTTAAATCACAGCACGCTGGGGAAATATATTGCTCACCATCTCCCACCATGCATACAGATGAGAGCTGTGAAATTTAGTATCAGTATTTAGAAGTCTATCAATGCCTTTCAGTCACCCATTGAAGACTCAGTTTAGGAGCTCTTTTATACAGGTGAAATCAGCTCAATGGTGTTTTTTTTTTGAATTACAAACTCCACAATGCTTGAGTGTACACGCCAAGGGATGGATAAGGATTTACAAATTGAATCGAGACATGGATATGGCACAAGCTGGTAGAAACTTAAAGGAAGCTCAAAAATCTACACCACCTCATTAACCTGCTGTAAAGATGCCTTGAGGTAAACGAAGCCTTCCACCTCTGGTAATCCCTTCTGCAAACCAGAAGAAAAGCAATTTAACTGTGTTGAACCTTTTTTGAGGTGAGAGTTGATCTTTACAGCCCTTTTCCCAGGGGATTAACACAGTTTAGAGACACATCAGCCTGCAACCTCTGTTTACTGGGAAGGAGAACTGATGGACAGGTTTATCATATATATCAAATATCATATAAATCAAAATAAATGCATACATTTTAAACAGGGATATTAAAAAGGACATTTCAGGATTAATGTTAATTACTAAAAATACTTTAAACTGCTATTAAATATATCACAATATTTTTAAAAGTCTGACAATTAGAAAACCTCTGGAACTTTTAAAATTTTTAAATACCCACATGCTGTCCAGAGCTTTCAGCAGCTTGTGAGTAAACACTCCAAAGAGTCATCCAACCCTTCCTCATGGATATTTTCCAGTGAAGGCATCACACCAATTTTTCTTATTAATTTTTTCTCATTCTTATAGAGATTTCTTATAAATAAGTACTTTCCAGATATATTTGCCTACACTCTTATGTTTTTCTGAATAGCCTTGAAGTGCCTTTAACTGGCAGAATATGTTTATCCTGATCTTCTAATAGGATCTCTTTTTTTTAAGGTTCTTCTCCAAAGCTTTAAAGCATTTTGCTCTTTTATCTGACTCTTTTAAATGTTTTTCTTGTATGTATGTCTGTGTACTACTTTTGCTAATGTTAATTACTGCTGTGATGTAGGTTCAAATCAAATCAAATGGAAAGCTCTCTGAACAATTAAACCAACAAAAAACTCTGATAACCCAAACCAACAAACTAAAAAATGAACCAAAATTCACACACAGATCCAAGTGCTGGGAAATATCTTGCTGAAATACTATGAAAGCTGAAACATGCCATCTTCAAGTACAGATCAAATAGCAGCCTTCAAAAAAGTTCCCAGGTAACAAAAATGATGAAATCAATAATCACAGCCAGGAGACTGAGCAGGTTTCTCTACTTGAGGCAAAATATTCTTTGGTGTGTCACAAGAGTGACATAAACCTGCTGCCAGTGAAATAGTTTGTGATGAACTGAAGTGACTGATGACCTGAGAAAGACTTCCACAGAACTGATAAAAATGGACAATAAACTGAAAAAGAAACCCTCAAACGTGCAAAACAATGCCCACAGGAAAATGCTAATGGTACAGAAATGAGGAGAAACAAATTCATCATTTATTATAGTCCCTGTGAAGATGCTGAAATGAGCTCAAGTCAGCTAAAATCTGAAAGGAATATGGCATTACATAAAAACAAACGAGAGAACACAAATCATCAATGTATTATCTTGATGTAGCCACAGATCACACACATCTTGAATTCCACTACAACCATTTTCATTTTGCCAAAGGAGAAGTGAAGCAGTTATGGAAGCACAGGACAGGATGAAGTATTAAAACAGGTATCAGTAGCTGAAACCAAAAACATTATGATCAGGATTATTAAATCAGGATGTTTGTCATTCAGAAACATTAAATCCCACATGCTTCATCTCCAGCACAAGCTGAATAAAATACCAATATTAGTCCCAAAACAGACTATTAGTTCCAGATATTTTTGTTAAAAAAACATCTGCTTCAGAGCTGTATGAATTGGGACAAAAATTACAATTTATAGACATATATTTTGAAATTCCAGAATTCATACACTGGCATCACATTTCTTATTTAAACTGAAAAACAAAGCTAACTAAATACTTACCTCTGGCTGAATTGCTTTAAATACAGGCACATCCATTAGTGTAATTTGACCCTGGAATAAAAATTTTAAAAAAACATAAGTTAAGATCAAAATTAACCTTGCATTCCATTCAGGTGCTGTGCTGCTTAAGAACTGCATTTGCTCTGTTTCCATTTCTTATTTGGCTTTCATTTTGTACCTCATTTCAGAGGTTTCAGCTTCTACCGCAGGGTCATCCTGCAAAACCAAAGAAAAACGTGCTCCTAGCTCCACATACACAAATAATAAACAAATTATGAGAAATTATTCTCAGGAGCATAATCCTGCAGTTACATGGGCAAGTAAGAGCTTGAACTCAGAAACATAAGAGCCTTCCCAAGAAGACAAGGAACTGACTGCAGTTGCTTAAAGGTAGCTTCTCTCCAACTTCTGAATGTTAGTCCAGTACACCACTCTACTGAAACATCCCTACAACTTTTCAATCAATACTTGAAACACATTTGAGTAATGAGGCAAAGCAATTGCTCAGTTGCTCAGCAACAGTTAAAATTAAACACAGGCATCTCTTTTCCAGCAAGGCAGAGTCAATAAGTGCATTTTCATTCTGGGATGTTTGCTTAACTTTGAAAAGAGTAAAGTCAAAGACCAGGTTTTGCATCTTGAAATATATTCACAGAGCCTTACTTTAAGTTTATTAATCCTGCACATTTTAGGATTGCTGACAGCCTATGTATTCGGAAAAGAAGACCATTTCTTTCAAAGGCAGCCCAGAAATACCAGTGCCATCCGAGTTAGGTATCACAAATTTTCTTTTAATAATGAATCCAGGAACCTTGTTCTGTTCCCTCAGCTGTCAGCTGCATGGCTTTATTCCCATTTCTTTGAAAACAGCAGTGCCATATATACACTCCAAGGTACACACTGACAGCTTTGTGACTCTCACAAATTGCAGCTGCCACTGGATGCCACCATGGATGGCAGAACAGCTCCTCAGAGAAAGCCAGCCTGGCAGGAGAATTTTAACTGGGATGCTCTAAGTGAAAGTCAGCTAGTACAAAGATGTAACTGCTCTAATGAGGTACATCTTGACCTCTAAATGCATTTTTAGATAGGAATTCTGACAGTCAATAATAAACATTAAAAAAAAGATATGTATCATTTCTCTGTAACCAACACCCTGACACAATCATCTGGTATTTTGCAGTACAACACCAGAGAAGTAAGATGCCCTTTATATGTTTCACTTTTACTCTCTTTCCCCCAAACATCACTGAGTGGGGCTGGAATGTCAACGTGCTGGAGGGCAGGAAATCTCTGCAGAGGGATCTGGATGGGCTGGATCGACAGCCAGTGGCACAAGAGTCAACAAGGCCAAGGGTTGGGTCCTGCCCTTGGATCACAATCCCAGGCAGAGCTACAGCCTGTGAGGAGAGTGGCTGGAAAATGAGGAAGCCAGTCCTGGAACAGCAGCCACAGAACTCCATCTCCAGTCTCCCGTTTGTGTCTATCAAGATTTCTCAGAAATCTTACAGTGCATCGTTATGCTTCTCAGTAAAGCAAATTAATAGGAAAAATGGGTTTGGGAATGTGAAATGAAAATGGGCACTTCAGTAAAATTCAAATAGAAGGCACATTAAAAGATCCTTACAAAAGACATGAGCATTTCAATAGTTATTAACGTTGCATTGCAACTCCTCCTCACTAAAACAAGATTGCAGTAACAGGACAATAAAAATAAGCCAGGAAACCGATTCTTTGTTAACACTGAGGAGAGCAGACTTAAAAATAAATGTTGCCTTTCTTGCTAGCCCTCCAGAATCCATCCTCTTCATCAGTCTGAGCTGCCTTAGCTAAATTTAACTTGCTTCAGTAGTGACTCCTAAACAAATTACTACTTTAAGATGGGATCAATATAAAATACTTAAGAAATAAAAAGTATTATTAGGACTTCACACCAGAATTCACTTATCAAAATAAATGCATACATTTTAAACAGGGATATTAAAAAGGGCATTTTAACACCAAAAAAACCACACAAGTGTGAAGGTTCAGGATTAATGTTCATTACTAAAAATATTTGAAATTGCTATTGAGTAAAATACAATACTTTAAAAAGTCTGACAATTAGAAAACCTCTGTAACTTTTAACAGAGAAACCTGTTTCTTCTACTAGCACGTTGATATTAGGCTGATGGGGGTTTTTTCCTAGCTTGGTTGACACATTTTTGCTTCTATTAAAAGCTAAAGTAACACTATCACAGAAGCACTTGTTCAAAAAGCATCCCTTATTGCAGTTCCTTTCTTAGAGAGCTTGAAATTTCCATTACAAGTTCCCAGGGCTTAGCAAATTGCTCATAATTCAAAGGAATCAAGCCACTGAGAGTTGAATATCTAAGCCGATTGCTAAAAAGCCATTTGAGTTTGTAAGTATGACAGTGTAACTCACATTACAGTTACATTAGCAACATTTTGTTAAAACTATGTTTAACAAAACAGATTTTTTTAAACATTAACTTGTTCATATTTATAAGGCTATATTGGTAAGTCTAATGACTGAATTTTTATTCTTTTAAAACATGCTCGCTCACTGCTAACTAAGTAAAGCAGACAAAGGCTGGCAGTCTAATTAACAGCACTTGAAATAACAAAGCTTCAAAAATAATTCTCGAGTTTTATGTTATGTGCCATTGCTCAGTTCTAACAGCAAATAAAATCTTCTGCCTTGACCATCTCACAGGGAATTTAAACCCCAATAAACAAAACCCCTAGTTTGGTTTCTGCAAGTGAGAGAGATACAATGCACTAACTTTTCTCACTCCAGCTCCTTAACCCAGCCAATACAAATTCTTGGAGAGCTTCCCTCTCCCAAATGTGGTTTAATGCTTTAATATTCAAACCAAAAATTATAAGTGTTCAAATCAACTTGTTACATGAAGCACGCCAACCATAACTTCTCTGGTTTTGGAGCTGCCAGCTGCACAGACTTTAAAAAAATAAAAATAATTACATGTGCAATACAAAACTGTGAACTTGTCCTTACTTATCATTTAAATAAGCATTCTGATTATGCAAAGATAGGGAAACTTGGTATTTTCTCTCTTTCCAGAAGTGATATCTCTACCAATTTAATTTGGATAATGAGGTATTTCATCATGGCACAGGGTGAGCTGAATGGAGGTTTTGTTTCTGTTTGCCCTAGATCCTAGATAACAGCTCTAGAATATGAGTAGAAAAGGTATGTTTTTAATATATCACAATTTTATTTCCCAATTCTCAACCACTTGAAGAGCTGTACAAGACAAAACTATATTTTAAAAGTGGTGCATTGGAACATTTTCCAATTTGCACACTTCCCCACCCCTTCACAGCCACAGGAGTTTTGCATATATAGAAGACCTTGCCTGGGGAGTCTCCAACAGCCACGTGTAAAAATATTTTAGCTCTCGTGGGTGTTGAGAAGTTGGACTTGTTAACAATCAAGTACTTCAAAATACTAAAATTATTACCACACAGTTTCATATAAAGAGGTTTTACCCCTCTCTCGGGGAGGTCTGCCAGGTCAGAAGTTTTACATTCAAACAACCCAGAACTACATTTCTATGTGCTGCTTCTTTGAGGAATATGAAGAAGCTTAATGAAATAAAATTTAAAAATACTTCCTGATTCTTTCTCTTTTCTATGAGGACACATGGATTACCCTTCTTCCATAAAAACCCGTAACTTAACAACTTCTAGTTCCAGCTAAGACCACTGCATTAAGCTCCTCTCCACATTTCTGTATGAAGGTTCTCATTGGACCTGGGCTATATTCTCACTTTTCTAGTCCCCAGTCCTTCTCAAGCATGAACTCTTTCTATCAGGCCATTTGGTGTATGTAGTACGAGTTTTCCTGCCATGTACCTACTCTAAGGACAGGGCACTTCCCCCACTGCTCCCTCCCAGACAGAAAACCCTCAGTGTAAAAAGAAACTCAGTTTCTGTTTGAGGTGAAAAAAGCCAAATGTCTGCATTCTGGTCACTGAAGAATACTGCCATCACCTGATTTTCCTTGAAGCCATGTTGGTTCAAGCAGCACTTCATAAATTGTTCCTTAATCTGAATTTCTAGAAGGAATGATATTTAAGCCTTCCAACTTGGCTTAGCACTGTCTCTCTGGGCAGCCAGGATATTTTCCTCACTGAAAAAAATAGCTAAGCCTCTGTTAAGCACAGCATCAGTAGGAGAATAATTCTGCTGTCCAGAATGAACACCAGGGGATTCAAGATCCTGTGTTGAAGCTCTACTTGTTTTCTCACAAAGTCCACTCCAAAACTTTTATCATTAATAGCTCCTCCACACGCTATAATTAAGTTGCTTCTTGCTCTCATTTGGAACATACTTACTCTAATAGTCTTCCGTGAAGTAAAGCTGACAGGATGTAGATAATCTGATATTTCACTGTCATAAGAACATCTCTGAGAACTCCTCCTTGTTTAATTGAAACAGTTTTTAACTAAGCTCTGTTTGCACATTGTTTCCAAAATAAGCAGTATTTTCTTCCAACAACCATTTGACAAAGCTTCACAGGAATGAAAAAGAAGAAATACACATACTACATCTTAGCATGAGCTTACTCCATAACACTTCCAGGGACTATGGCAAAGAATAAAGAATCCTTCTTAGATAACTAGGCAGAAAAAAAAGCAATGGATTCATACAGCTGCGCTTCCCTTAATTCTACCTCAAATATTTACACCACCGTGGCTAAGTTCAAGTATAAAATGGAAAAGTGAGTCAAAAAGTAATAAATAGTCTAATAATTAAACAGTAGATGTCTAAGAAATAAGAATTTACTGTAAAGCATAAAATAAATATTTCCTCAACCTGAGGTTGGCCAGCACCTTAATTTGGAGCTCATGACCCCAAGCTTTTTCCTTCTTTCCTTCAGCCTCACCAGCCTCCCCTTTCCACTGCCACTGCACCACTAACAGATCCCTCCCCCACAAATTGTGCCCTGTGTGCTGAAAACCACATTTCTCCCTTGGATGAAAATGGGGAGCATTCAGTGTGACCACGCCGACCCTGGGCACACAACGGCCCCCCCAGCAGGGCCAGGCACCACGGGGCAACCCTGGCACCAGCCTGGCTGTGGCTTCCAGCCCAGGAATAAAGAACTGAGCAGTGACCAGCCTAAAAGCAGGTCTTTAAACCAGAGATGGTCTCCTTACTAGTTACATCTTACAAAGCTGGCCATTGAATCCTTAAATGTGTCCTACTTCATACTCATTGAATGGGATTCTTCTTCCCAAAATCTATGCATTACATATATATTATAATGTATATATTTACATACATATATATTATATATATTTTATCTATATATAGATATAGATATATAGATATAGATATATATATAGATATATATTATAAACACTCAGGTATTCAGTACATTCCCTGGAAGCTTTCTGTAAACTGCAAGGTGATAAAGCAAACTATAAATCTGCAACAGCAGCAGCAGGGCCTTAAGGTCTCACCCATTTCTAAAGCAGCCTTCAAACTTAAGAAGAATAAAAACCACCCAGTTGCTAACAAACTTATAACTGACTATTACACCTATATTACAAGAATTTCCATTACTGCTCAGACTGGCCCCCTTGAAGGGCTGGAAGACTTTTGCTTGTGAGACAAAGGACCATTACATGAAACAGCACTCCTCTTGTGCACTCAGGACAGTGTTAGATGATTGCCAAAGGGGAGAATATGGAAATAAAATCATCAAAAATACTGCACTCAGGTTTCTCTTTGGCTTGGTAGCACCTTCTTGAAAATACAGGATTACAAGCAATACCTTTTGTTGTCCAACTTGTCTCTTACCCACTAAATGACTAAACAGATGGAGTTTTGAAATAATAATGATGTCTCTGAGACAGTGGGAACTGAAAATACATCTGTGTCTCTCATTGGTACTGAAATCACCATCGTGGATCTTATTTCCAGCATATCTCAAACTTAATTAGCTTTCACATTTTTGTTTTTCCTCCTTTGGTATAATTGTACTTCTCCCATCTGTGCACAGTGACCTGATCAAAATGCAACACATCACACAAGGTTCAGGATGGGACCTCACAATGGTTATGTTGACTTGATCAGTGAACTCTCACTTTTACAATACCTCTGTACAAGAACTCTTTTCCATTGGAGCCAAGGTTTCCTAACAATTATTTAGACAGCTGTCTAACTCCTTGTTGAGCAGCAACTTCTATTGCTGTTTTACTGGCTTTTTTCACATTATCTTTCCTCTCAATCAATAAGCTACTTAGGTAGCCTGCAAATTATTTCATCAGTTTATTTCATTTATATTATTTCATCAATTTACTTCAAAATAAATTATATTATTTTAAACAGCATTCACTCATCTGTCACAGAGACATGTCTGTAGCCTGCACTGCATCCATTTCATAAGAACTATCACTACTCAAGAAGCTTTCTCATACTTTGGAAAAACAACTGGCAGCATATCCATGTCCAGCTCAAGAGGTACAACCCAGCATGAGGAAACCTCACACACTTTTTGCATCCTCAAGAGTTTGGCCCTACTGCATCACTCTGGTGGCCTTCACATCCACACTGAAACCCAGGAAGAGTAAGAAAGTGGCCAAGAAAATAAAAACAAGCTTAAGGGTCAAAGATACTTTTCCTCTAGGGTACCTAAGTTTTTGGCATATTTACTTATTTCGACAACCTTCAGCAAGAATGATCAGAAAAAGACAGCACTCAAAGCAAAAAGGTGCTACTGGAAAAGCAGGTATGTGTGCCTGGGGAAACAAACATTAACAAAGTGCAGCTGTGTAGAGAAACATTGAAAAAGAAATGAAATTAATTTTTTCCTTGCCAAAGGACTGAATACTGATGATTTTCTTCAATTGTTCAGAATTCTACATGCAAGGTGTTTCGTATCGATTTACAGTAAATCAAACCTGGTATGAAGAACTAGATCCTTAAAAGGACAAAGGTGAAAAGCAAAGATGTTTCTTTTGAGGGACTGAGAAAAAAGCAATATTATACTTAGTAAGAGAAACCAAAAATACAGGCACAGCTGTAACATGAAATGCTTAATTAAAAGATTCCTGTTGGCGAGCAGAACTCTACCCACTTTGAGGCATAACATGAAAACAGGAAAAACACTGGATTTGAATACAGATTTTTATCTAACCAAGATTTCTTAAGTAGGTAACATTTAGAACAAATGGAGTCAAAGGTTGCTGCATTTGAGAGAAGAAGGACTAGATGGTGGAGCAAAAGGATTATGAAATGTGATTCTCTGACAAGGCACCTCTGTATATTCTGCTGTCCAAGTGACAGCAGCTCCACAGAGACTGACTCATCTATTCTGCTGCCCAACAGCATCCACCACTGGTAAATAGTAGAGCCTTTCAACAAACTCATTCTGGCCTGAATATATAATTCCACTTTGAATTCATGTCCATAGCCCCAAATTCCCTAAGTACTTAGATTTACTTTATGTACAGGAATCATAAGATAAAACTGGAAGGACAGTCAGCCCCAAAAAAACATCTTCCCATGGAAAGTAGGTGATTCATTGCCCAGCTGTTCCTGACAACAGTGCAAGGAAGAGGCCCAAACCACATGACTTGAGCCTCAGTCAGGAATAAATCCCATAATTAATTATGATCCCTAGCCAAGAAGAATTTAATGTGTAAGTACCACTTCATAATCCAGCTGCTTTAAATTTTCAGTGTTCTCATTAAAATCAATTGAGCCACTAATAATTAACTGAAATAGTTATTAACAATTACAAACCAGAACGAACTAAATGGGAATATTTTGTGACACATATTACTCCGTATCAATAATCTCCCCAGGACAACTCCTCGTGAATCTCATCACTTGAATTAGAAACACATTAAGAGCTTAGCAATCTTTCTAGTAACATACTCAAATCACTTAGAGGGCCCATCTGTTGTCCTCACCTCTACAAGGAGTAAAACCAGAACAAAATCACCCAATGTTTTGGTTAAACATCTGTGTTTATTTATTCTTTTATTTTATTTACATTATTCTGTGCACCCAAAAGAAGAAAACTAGAAAAGCTTCCTAGAGCAAGAATTAGTGGAGTTAAGAATTAAAATACCTCCAGAAAAAAAACAAGTACAGATCAAGCATAGCCTTGCAACTAAAATATGCATGTCAGAATTAAGCTGTGTCACATAAAGAATCTTTAGTCTATGCTACCTATAAGAGTATGAAAAATACCTAGACAGCAGAACCCAAAAATATCACTTAATTTCAAACAGAATAGAGACAATGAAGAACTAAAGAACAAAATCTGTTCTTAAAACCCATGGATGACAGAAGTTAGGCAAAGAATGTACAGAAATAGAGAAGCAGAGGAAAAGCTGCAAAGGAGATTCACACACAAAGTAATTAGAATTCCTGGACTTGCTTACCGCATATTCCTCTGGTGTAACCTTTAGAACATCAAATACCACTGCATCAAAGCTCTTCTTCAGTTCAGCTGAACCCTTGTCACTCAAGGACTCAGAGCTGCTACTCTTCTGCAGAAACAAACAAAAAAAACCCACTAAGGATATTTTGGAACTGTCTTCTTTTTGTCTTCTTTCTTACACTCCCAAAAGTAAAATTTCTGTTTGAGAGTCACTGTTCACATTAATTTTTCTACTGGGTAAATTATCAAGTCAAATTCAGTCACAGAACATACTTTTCTCCTGACATGGACTGCAAAAAATCAGACCCTCAAAGTGACATCTGGATTTCCATGGATTTCCTTCTAGCTGAAGGAAGGCAGGGTTAGGTTGGATATTAGGAAGAGGTTCTCTGCTGTGAGTGTGAGGAGACCCCAGCACAGGGTGCCCAGAGAAGCTGTGGCTGCCCCTGGATCCCTGGAAGTGTCCAAGGACAGGGCTTGGAGCATTCTGGGATAGTGGAAGGTGTCCCTGTCCTTGGCAAGGGGTGGCACTGGATGAGCTTTACCATCCCTTCCAATCTCAGTAATTCCACAATTTCAAAGGAATTCCTCAAAACACAACAGTTATCTTTTAATGCACAATTAAATTCCAATTTTATTGTCAGGGAAGGTAATAACAGCAACAATATTAACAAAAGCAATACAATCATACTGAATTTCAAACACAAAAACTATCACGATGGTAAGGAAAAAGACACCGTCTACCCCAAGGGAATAGTTATCAATCCTCTTCCTCTTTCTCTTAAAAACATGGATGCTTATAAAAATTACACTGAGCTACACGTTTCTGTTGAAGACATTTAGCAGAAGGAACTTTAGTGCTGTTTTTAAATTACAGTAATTCATATTTTCAAAAAATACCACATCCTAAGATATCATTCTATAAACAATTATCTACAGAACAGAGATTTTGCTTCTCTGTAAAATACAAATGCAGCTCAAAAAATTAACATTTCATATTGGTTTCATATACACTTTTCACATTAAAGCAATACATCTGTGTTATGAGCAATCACTTCTTCTAGCACATAGATGCAGACCTAGATTCTGTTATTAATTATTGAAGTTCTGTCAGGGGAGGTTAGGTTTGAATATTAGGAAAAGGTTCTTCCCTCAGAGGGTGGTGGGCACTGCCCAGGCTCCTCAGGGAATGGGCAGGGCCCCAAGGCTGCCAGAGCTCCAGGAGGGTTGGGACAACACTCCCAGGGATGCACAGGGTGGGATTGTTGGGGTGACCAACACAATCAAGGCCCTTTCTGACAGTCTGTGCCATTTTACTGCTAATGCTGCAAGCTTTCAAGATAGTGGACATAGGACCTAGAGAATTCAGCCAGCTGAAATAAGCTCATGTCCATTTTCAAGCACTTTTGTTATAAGGACACATCATGAAGAAAATGCTTTTTTAATAATGATGTCCACTTTTAGATTCTGACAGTACAATCTCTCTGAAAAATCTGCCTTTGAAAACACCACCACCAACTCCAAACCAGACATGCATTTTCAGTAACCAATATGCTTACAGAAACATTTCAGTCACAAGTCCCTTTTCCTACTTCTTAGTCAAGACAGAAAAAAAAAAAAAACAACAAACCAAAAAAACCCCACACTCCCTTAAAGTAAATTCATGTAATTTTGCCAAAAAATATTTTACTCAATTTTATCAGACATCACATAAACATTCAAGACTATTGCTGAGTAAAAAGGTTGCTTTCCTCCAAGAAAATTTTTCAGGTGCATGCCAAAAAATAGTCAATGATTCATGAAGGAATTATAAGGGGAATACAAGAATTTATATAAAAACAAACAATAATCTTGGAGACTGATGCCAGGTTTCTTGACAATAGTTGTGAAATTGTGGTGAAGATTATTTGGCTCCTTTTGGTAACAGAAGATTCCAATTTTACTTTCACACCTTGTTTGTGGTACTCCTCATTCCCATATGCAAGAGCATACCACACATAACTGCTATCAAAATTCATCTGTAAATACATAAATAAACAAAACATCTTTGGTACAGCCCAGAGATTCGAGGAAGGAAGCAACTACAGTCAGGACTTTGTGGCTCTCATCACTACTGTCTTTGTAGTGTTCTAATTTCAGCCCAAGCCTCTTCCTTAACAAGTAGATGACAAATGGAAAACGACATTCACTTCAAAATAAGAGGCATCAGCAGATGAGGCCAATCTCCATTGCTTGCCTGATGCACACACTCAGCTCTCAAGCTGTTCATTTCTAGAGGGCAGAAGCTTTGATGGGCAGGAGGGATCCCTACCTATGCCAGAATATAGTCCAAGAGACAAAGGGAACAACTTTATTCCACTGCTGCTGTGTCAGACTGCCCCTCAGTACGCACACACAAGTACCTGTCAAAGAAAAGAACATTTCCCACCGGCCTTGCCAACCCAGCTTAATGTGCTAAGAGCATCTATTCTTGTTAAAACTTGAAAAGAAAAGCTTCCTTGTCTAGATGTGATGGAAGAGAACATGGAAAAAGGCAGCCTTGGCTATGGTACATGCAAGTTCACGCTCTATTTTGGTATGCCAAGTTCAGGACTCAAAATTTTCTTCACACTGAACTGGGGTTTATGAAACCAACACACAGAACAAGAATCTGTTGGATGAGAACTGCTAAAAGAAAAACTTACATTTTAGTGCATTTAAAGTAAAAACTGAGTACTTAGTTACCCAGTAACTGAGGATTTCAATCCTTACCTCTGAAGCAGTAGCTGCAATATTAACACTGCTGGGCTGTCCGTTCATTAGGTCCATACTGCCCACACCATTAATCTTCGGCCCTACATGTGCAGCAGCAGGATCATCTCCAAGGCAACCGAATAACCATTCCTACAAAGAGCAAAAACGTATCATAAACCACTTTCTGCAGGGGCTTGAATCAAGATTCGGTGCTTAAAATCCTTAACAAAAATAAAGGACTTCCAAAATGGCTACACCAATCTGAGGTCCAGATTCTAACCCGTATTTTAAAATCACTTACTTAAAACCAACATAAAAAACAGAATGTTCCATTAAGAACCATCAGTTGCTGCCAGTATTGACTTACCATATTCTTTTCCCCTGTTATTTTCTCTATTGCAGGAATCAATATGTAAATATATGCAGTAGCCCTAACAAATTCAGGTCTGCAACATCAGTTCACGTACAATGTTTTTCCTTTATTACCAACTTTAAAAAGTATTTTCCAGATGTTAACTCTATTAGGTAACTTTAATAAGGTATTATCCAATAACTTCCTATCTTATAGGACTCTTCACCAGCTTCAAGTGAAAATTATTACATTGAAAGCAATTAAAAATACAAGTGGAATTTATACTTTTATCCACAAGTAACCCAAATTATTGCTTAGTAAAAAAACCCCAAACAGAAAAACACACAAAGGAAAACTCCACCCGCTGACTTTTAATGCACCCTTGCAAGAATATTCTGACTTTCATTTCTGCAAAGACTGCAAAGAAATTAAAGCCTTTGGCATCCACTATAAAAACTAGACTACCAAACCCTAAAGTGTTAGAGAGTAAAAATTGGTTTGTGCTTAAATTAATGAGCTGTTAGTGCCCTCTAGTGTGAAAACTATTATAAATCAGCTTCCATGGATCTATGTCTATAGCACATGTGACTGCTTCCAAAGTTGCTGCTGTTTATGAAATTCACTTTTGGTTTGCAGTTTAATTCAGAACTATTGCATGGTCTGAAAATACATGGAGAGTGACAGGTAACTGTGTAATTCCACATGACAAAACAGTATTACAGCAGCTCATACTTAATGCCTCTGAGGAATGAAATAAAATAATCTGCAAAGCTGTATCTCCAAGTGGCCTAAACCAAGTATGTCAGACAGGCAAGTGTGGAAGGCAAACTACAATATTTAAATAAGAAAATATCCTAAAAAAAACCCAACAGAATATTTAAGCAATAAAACATCCTCAAATTTTGAAGTGTCACCATAAGAATGCACTACAGAAAGAAAAGTAATGTAAGAGAGCAGTGTGGCAAATGTCAAACACTACAGCTTCCAGATATTTGTGAGTATTACCATCCGAGCTGTGCTTCTGCAGTTCAGGACAGCCACCCACATTCCACCCTTTGTTGTTTTGGAAAAAGTGAGGGAACTGTCTGGTTCACAGGACAGAGGATGCTACATTTCACTTTAATGCTACACTCCCAGCCCGTGTGCTTTAATTAACACTGATTCCTCCACTAAAAATGCATCCATCTGCACTTAAACTTTGAGTTACAGACCACATAAAGAAAAAAAAAATCTCATGTCTGGCTTCTGAGTGTCACTGCTGTCCTGTCTTTCCCCATCTCAATTACCCTTCAGATTGTCTTGTGGAATTATAGCCAAATGCACAGCTCCCCAGTGCCTCTCTCCTACAGCTTTTTCATTTACTGAAGGGAAAAGCACAGAAATAAAACTCTGATGCGTTACAAGTTTCATTTATGTAGTGACAGTAGAGGACAGAGGTATCACATCTTCAAAACTAGATCCAGGCCCTCCACATGCTCAAAATGGTACATTTATCCCAAAGTAATCTCCTCTGCTAAAAAAACCTACCCTTTAAAACTTTGGGGTTTATTTAACCACTGTATTTTAAAGGAAAGTAGATACTTTGGCTTTGTATGGTACAGTTAGGGAGAGTATGAGGAAATAGTGTAATCTTAAATTAAGGTTATATATTTGACCCTTGGCTTGGATTCAATTGTTCCCCCTCCCAATATTAATGGGAGGCAAAAAAGAAAAGAATTAGGGATATCCTTCTGTGCAAGGAAAAATAAAAATCTGAGGTCTGGGAGATTTTTTGGGGGGAAGTATTTGGATAGTGCTAATTGAAAGAAATTACGTACATCATAGAAGCCTATGGAATTGGCAGCTCAGCCTCACATCAACAAGAACAAACTAATTCCTCTATCAGCAAATGTTAAAGCCCCGTTTCCTCAATGATTGCTCTCACATAACCCACAGGAACTTCCTCCCCAAATTTCCTGACCAACTTTCCACCTCGGAGCATCTGCCTGGAAGGAACAGCAGTGCTGCACTCTGATCCAGGTTCTCCTTTTCCACCTGGTTACTGTGATGGGAGTTGAGAGAACTCTGTCTCTTTGTTAGGTGTGGGCCACCATGCTGAGAAGTGACTTCTAGGAGGCACACAAACACTGGTTTAATTCATGTTTTTAATAAGTAGAAAATCACTTAGAAAAATAAAAACCCTCCATGCAAAGGAAATGGAGTTTATAAAATATAACTTTTACAATGTTCTCATGTCTAGCAGATTTCAAAAGTACATCACCACTCCCATAACAGGAACAGTCACAGCAACATTGTGACCAATTTTGGTCAATGTGTCACTAGAGACAAATATTGAAAAAATCCTCACACCAGAATAACTAAATCATTTGCTTCCTTCTGCTCAACACCAAAATAATCTGTGAACAGCAATATCAGAAAGTGATCATGAGCAGAGTTCAGAGCAGCACAGCTGGGCCTGTGGAATCACTGTCACCACACTGCAATAGTGAGTCACAGTGCTCACTGCCTACCTTGTACATCCAATTACCAAAACTGAATTACACTGAGTAATATGAACTTCCAGTCAGTTTCTCCTCTCCAATTTAGTAAATGCCTTTCTGCTCAGAAATGAATTACATGTGGAACTGAGAGTGTTTTATATGATGCACAAAATACCTCAGCATTTATGCCAGCCTGAAGCCTTGACACGCTGTGGGATTTTCCTACCTCTTCATTCAATTCATACTCTACAGTAAAAGGCAAACTAAAAATACTGATACAAATATTCATCACACCCAAACAATGAAAATATCTAGACTATTGTTGTGCTTTAGCCCCAGCCAGCAATTCAGCCCCATGCAGCCACTCACTCACTCCCCCACAGTGGATGGGGGAGAGAACTAGCAGAATAAAAGTGAAAAATCTTGATAGGGAGACAGCTCAGTAGGGAAAGCAAAAGCTGTGTGCTCAAGCAAAGCAAGGAATTCATTAACTGCTTCCCATGGGCCGGCAGGTGTTCTATCCTGTGCAACAGTGACTTGGAAAGGCAAAAGCCACTCTAAATGTCATCTCTTCCACCCCCCTCCTCCGGATTTATATTATTATATATATGGTCTAGAATAAACCTGTTGGGGTCAGCTGTCCTGCCCATACCCCCTCCCAATGTGTTGTGCATCCCAGCCTACCTGCTGGTGGGATGAGGAACAGAAAAGGCCTTGACTCTGTGTAAGCCCTGCTCAGCAGTAACCAAAATATTCCTGTGGTATCAAAAGTGTTCTCAGCACAAATCCAAAACAGCCCCATGCTAGATAGTGTGGGGAAAATTAACTTCATCCCAGCCAAAGCCAGCACAACACTGTTATAGATACATATTATATTGTTGGCTTTTTGCAAATATTAAAATGAATGTTATATGTATAAGGTCAGAAAACTTCATTATATTGAGATAGTTCCTTCTATTTCTGTTATTGATGAAACTTAGAAATAGTGGTATCATATACATATACGTTGAGCTATGGCATAGTATTAAAACAAAAACTACTTTTGTTTGTACAGCCCAAAGACTGAAAAAGATGATTAGAGACCCCCCACCATTCTTAGATTATCTTGTCCAGATGAGGACAGCAGTGACCAGAGCTCTGGGGGAGGAAGTTATTGCATTTCTGTTATCAGGGAATGTAAAAATTGGTGGAGCCAAGAAGATCGATTTATTGGGAAGGGGGCAAGTCAAAAACTAAACAAAGAAACATCCAAAACTTAAGAAGAATGTGTGAATATATATGAGAATTTATGAATATGCAGTAAGGTTCTGTTTTTAAGGGACAATCCTTTGTTAGCAAGGTGTGCTCTCCTGGCTGAATGCAGAGACACCCGGCCGTATCTGTACACTTTATTTTTATCTCCCAATTGTCTTCTTATTAAACTTTGAAATTCTATATAAAAATATGCGAATATGTCGTTTTTCACAATACTAAGCAGGGTCTGTTGCCTCCAGCGAGTTTTTTCTGCCAATTCCCCAAGGCTGTGCTGCTGACCATCCCCCTTGCAGTGAGTGGCCTGCAGGTCCCCCCCAGAGGGAAGGCAGCAGCAGGGTGTGCCCGGCACAGCTGCTGCAGAGCCAGCCTGATCTCAGCACAAAGGGGAAGAGAGAGTGCCCTTTGTGCTTCAGATGAACAGCTCTGTCAGTGGAGCACATCAACATCCCAGCGGAGTGAATCAACTGCTGCTGCAAATGCTTCTCCCCGAGCTCTTTGTTAAGTGACCGGGGTTAGCTACAGCAACACGGGGGAGCAGTGACAAAACCATTCTTCGGCTCTACGAAACCACAGAAGCAAGGAATTTCAGAGAGCTTGAGCTGGCTTCAACCCACGTATTCCTTCCTGGGGACACGAGCATCATGACAGCGAGCATACTCCAGGGACCAGCAGTGGGGATCTCACCGGTGTTGTGTTGAAACTGTATACTGCAATTGCTGGAGTTTGCTAAGTTGAACTTGCATTTGTATCTCGATTTCAGTGTATTTTGTATAAATCAGAAATACTCTGCGATATCAGCTATATTCAAATGGTTAATGTAGCATTAAGCATTACACCCTCCATGTGTGGAATATCTGAGAGAACTGAGCAGAGAGTGGTGGATTCTCAGAGACATCTTACAGAACACTTAGACAATTCCCTTCCAACAGATGTTCTTGACTCAGTTTGGCTCAAACACTGACCCAGAAATACTGTATAAACAGCATTTTAAAAGACAACCTTAAAATTATATTTGAAACTTCCTGCCCAGAACAGTACAAAAGGTTTGAGGAAACAAACACAGT